AATCTCAGACATGATTTAAACAGTTTCAGCCCAGAGGGAGGCCGCTGTTTTGTTATTGCACTGCTGCCTGGTGAAACACACGCTGCAGATAACATCACTTCACTGTCTCTTTAATGTGACTTTGTTTCTATTTTTGCTCATGTACTCAGCTGCATACTTTTTCTGCAGTTGTTATGTTTGCAAAACAGCTTCTTAATCTCAGCCTTTATGTCCATTTATCATAACACAAGCTGAAGGGATCTCTATAGACTGAATGTTAAGTTTCTGGTAAGTTTAGTGCGACAGGTTATCATAAGAACATCAACAAGAAAGGTTGGGGTATGTACAGACCTCAGTCTACACTGTCCCTGGTCTGTTTCTTCTGGTTTGGTCTAGGCCCATTCATTCTAAAAGAATATTTTAGTCACCACTGTGTTTCCAAAGCTGGAAATGGCTCTTTTCTGTGCACACCAGGTACAGAAAGAAGGGGTTTTCCTAGTTTGATGTGAAAGAACTTGAACCCCATCCAGCACCTGTGGGATGAACAGAAATGCCAACCTTGAGCCAAACCTAATTACGCAGCATGAGTGCTGGACCTGACTATTGCTCTTGTGGCCATATATCTTGTATAAAAGGAAATTACATCACGATTTTTTCAATGAGAAAATTAAAAGGTTTCTAAAACATAATTTATACATGAATGTTAATCAAAATGTCTAACATAAAGTCAAATTTACTTTAGGTTAACAGGCCATAAATGGTAAATGGACTGTATTTTATATAGCGCTTTCTCACAGTGTGTTGCACTGGCCAAAGCGCTTTACAGAGATTATACACCATTCACCCATTCACACACAACATTCACACACTGATGACGACAAGCTGCCATGCACCGGCGCTAGTCAAGCCACCAGGAGCAATTTGGGGTTCAGTGTCTTGCTCAGGGACACTTAGGCATGCGGGGAGACCGGGAGTCGAACCACCAACTTGCTGGTCAGGAGACGACTGCCCTACCTCATGAGCCACAGCCACCAAATATATAAAATATAAATGTGCAAATACACACTTACCTTTTCAAAATAAAATAAATTACATGGATTATTTGTCAAGAGTTAAAGTAGGAGCAACAATTTACATTCTTACTCATCCAAATTTTGAAAAATTAAGTATTTCATTTTTTGATACTTGAATGTTTATTTCGCTATATTTAATACTTCATTGCAATTCAGAGGATAATTTTTATTTCACTACATTTATCTGACAGATCTACAGATAAAAGTTTTACGTGCAAAACAAGCTGGTGAAACATGAAATATGATTTAATACTAAAATAACCAACAGTATATAAAGCTGCCATCTTCAGCTCTGTTGGTAAAGAATCGTAATACCTCCGCCACTGCTAAACTGATATTTATCTTAAAGCCTGTTTTTGAATACATAAGTGACTACTGAGTGATTTATGGCCTCAGCTGATGAAGTGCAGAACCGGCAGTAACACTAATTGCACAAGAACATAAATTTCTAATGACTTTCATTTTCACAAAGTGGACATATCCCCTTTGGAAATGACCTTTTCAGATGCAGAGAACGTGGCCTGACTTGAGGTTTGTATGGGAAACTCCATCCTTCCATTTATCATTCATGCTTGCATCTCAAAGTGTCCGCTTGCCCTTGGTGTTATCCTCCAGCTTTCTTTGTCACACATACAAACACATCACATCTCTAGCCACAACCATTCATATTTTGTTGGGTTTGCTTGCATTTTTTCTGTGTATTTACATCCTTTGCTGCTCTGCCATGAACTTTGTGAGCAACCTGCTTTTTGTTAAAAGCACTTTGTCAGTAAATTTGACTTACCTCGACACTCAATACTGAGTCCATTAAGCAGCAGAGCCAAGGGGCTACTCTGGGCACAAGGGCCATCGGTTCCAGTAAGGTATATCTGCTGAGCTTTCATGAGCAAGCATCATCATACGTAATTCTGGCACATGTAAAGCTATTAGGTAGGATTTGGCATCTGATAGTTGAGTAATGGGATTAGCTGGGGGTAAATCTGCAGGACCAGAACTGTTGGTCTTCCCCAGTCAAAGAAAGACAGACACACAACCCAAGCTGCCTTTTCCATGAAATACAAGTCGCCCCTTCATCACGGCTGAATATTTACTAATGTCTGTTCTGTTCTTCGTATGTTAAGGTAATAGGTAGAGAAATCAGAAGCAACATATGTCAGTATTTGTTTGACTTAAAAGCCTTTGATATGGTTACTATTCTTAATCACTTTCTTCCTTTTATGTTTCTATACCACACTTTAGTTTTGTAGCCATGATATAGCTGCATTGCTCTAGGAATGGAGTTATATGGATAAAACATAAAATATCTTGACACCTATCATATGGAATTACAAGAAAATTTTACACAAATATTTATGTTTTCAGAAAGCGTATTCCACTGACTTTGATGATCCCATGCCTTTACATAGCACCTACAGCATTTGTGGTTTTTATTGATTATTAATCTTAACAACTAGCTGAACAACTGTCATGAACAAACATTCATGTTTCCCTCAGATGAATTGTAATAATCTTCATGATCCTCTGACTTTTCATCTGCTGCCATTCATCGGGTTGTCCACTTCTTTATGACCATACACCTCCAAAATTACTAATATTCCCATCTACTACTTTGTGTTTAGTGCTAATTAGCAACTGTTAGCACACGTTCAAAATATCACCATGTGAGAATTGCCATTGTGAGCATGTTAGCATGCTGTAGTTCATGCACGGTTCACCCTAAAATCCTGTAAATGTATTAGTGAATTATTTGTGACAGAAGAAGAATTAATCTACTGTAAATGTGTCACAATGTCCTGAATGTGTTTTTGATATTTTCAATGAGTAATCTGTAAAAATGATAAACCTCCCTACATTTCCAGCACAGAGCAGGGGCTGTACGTGCTCTTTCCAAAGAGAGTTCATTTGTGATGAAAGTACAAAATTGCTGCCAGGGAAAAACCATTTACAGGAACCGAACGCCTCACCCAGCCTGTGCCAGTCCCCCAAGCTCTAACCATTAAGCTATGTACAGGACTGTGTGTTTTGCTGAAGATGAAAGCCAACACTCTGATATAGAACAGGTGACTCAGCTTCCAGCTTGGCAGAGAAATCCCCTGAGACCTTTGACCCCCTAATCATTTAGCAGCGCTTATGGTTGGAGATCTGCTCCAGGCTATTAGAGAGATTAGTGTCATGCAGATTTGGAAATGGGCCAAGCCTATATCTGAACTTCATGGTATTCTCAGCATTTATTACTGAGCACCCAACCCACGTTGAAATCTGATATGGGACCATATAGTAGCACATACAGTAGCATGACGCTATGTAGGTGTAATATGTGTTGACCTACACTGAGTGGTGAGCTGTATGTTAGGAGCATACTGTTGACTTAAAATAGGATATGTTTTATGGTTTCAACTTCATGAAATATCACCATCTGTTAAACTTATTTTTATGTTCCATGTATATTTTTGGACAGAAAATGTACATGTTTAATAATACAAGATACACTGTACACGCAATTCAAATAGTTTTCTAGAATAGCCTTTTATCTGCAAATATATGTATCAACAGTACACGGGAGGCTACATACTTTGAAAAGTGATCGGCCGCCCCTGTTTTTCTTGCACCGGCACAAACAGGAGTGCAAAACGAGCATATCTCTCGAACAAAAACAATCACTAGCTCTTCAAGCAGTATCATCAAGTTAGCTAAATTAAGACAGATTGGTACCGGAAGTCCAAATAATCTGTCTTCAAAATGCAAATAAGCTAAAAAGTACAGAAAACATTGGAAGTAAAGCCTGAGAACAACATTTTTCATTAGGTGATATTTGAGTGTGGTGTTAAATTAAATGCAAAATAAGGATCCTGGTATGGTGGTCTCATTAATTTGTTGGTGCCCATTTCATCACCTTAGAAGCCTCAGAAATTTGTGGTTGATATTATAAACAAAAAACACTATAGAAAAATAATAGAAACCATAAAACTAGTTTTAAAACATTGCCCAGAGTTACAATGATTAGTTGATTAATTGTCTACTATTTTGATAAATGAATGTGCCTAGTGGTGGAAAGTAACTACTGTAAAAACATTTACTCAAGTACTGTAGTTAAGTACAATTTTGAAGTATCGCTACCTTACTTTCATTCTTTGATACTTCACTACATTTTAAAGACAGATATTGTACTTTTTACTCCACTGTATTTATTTTATAACTTTAGCTACTAGTTACTTTATTGAAACCAGATTAATACAAAAATTACAATATAATTATATGACTTATAAGCTACTTAAAACTAGCTCCCCCAGTAACAGCTGCGACATTAAATGTGACAGACTCAATAATGCATCAGTAATTATAATCTGATGTGCCATTCTGGATAATGAGCACTTTTATTTTTAGTACTTTAAATATATTTTGATGCTGAAAAGTTCTACTTTTACTTAAGTAACACTTTGGATACAGGACTTGTAACAGAGTATTTTTAGCCTGTGGTATTACTACTTAAAGGATCTGAGTACTTCTGCCTTCACTGAAAAGGCCTAATGGTATTTTTTAGACATTTATGATGGGACACTTTTCTTTGTCACACATGATAGTAAACTGAATACCTATGGATTTTAGGCTGTTGGTCAAGATACTGAAGACATCTTCTTGGTCATGTGAAATTACCAGTATTTAACACTATTAATGTTATTAATAAAATGAATCTGACACTATGCAAACACCAAAACAAATGAACAATTAATCATCAATCAATCAAAAACAACCAAATTCCCAGAGCCCCACAATGACAAACAAGAGTAGACCTACCTTACTCAAAAAAACAAACAAACAAAACAACAACAACAAACAAAACAAAACATTTGACCCCGCATTATATATTTTAGTGTCATATTCTATTTTGAAACACTTTACCGGATGCTCCCTATATCAGTTTATTTATTTTGACGTAGGTCTCTGACGCCATCTTGAAATTGTCCCGACCAGAGGAGGCGAGGGGGAGACGGATTTGGGAAAACCAGCTCATTTCCAACTCGATAACTGCAATAGCTACATGGATTAACGGGACCTTTAGTGGTTGGTGCTATCGTGTGATAGTGTTTCCACATATTCATTCAACTAATTTTGACCAAGGAAGGCGATTTTGCCCACTTTGGAGAAGGCTAACACATCGTAAACGGTTGTTTCCCTGCTGGAGTGGACGGAGCTGTGGCTGTGGCCGGGCAGCCCCGGCGGACTGTCGGACGAAACTGAGGCTTCCACACGGAATATAACAACAAAAACATTTTAATCCAGCTGTTTTTGTGACAGGGGAGTGAAAATGCGCATTTCAACGCTAGTTTGACGTTTTCCAGCTTTGCGATCGAGCTCACTGAGGAGAAGTTGGATTGGAGAGCGGAGTGCGCTTGCTTTGCAGTCCGATGGATGTTAGCCCTCCCTGGCTGTGGCTCTGCTCACTGCTCCGCTGGTCTGAGAATAACAGGCACAGGTGAACAGGTCTGATCATAACAATGCTGCAGATCTGGCTATTACACGACAACCTCGGCTTGAACGCCAACAAGTCTCCCTCTATTGCTTGTCTGTAAACCTGGAAATACTACAAGCCATCCCCATCCTCTTCTTCATCCTCCTCCTCTTCCTCCCCTCGTCTCTTTTAGGAGGTTTGCATTACCGGGAATATTTAGGATTTAGGCTCGATCCCCACATTTTAAAGATGTCCTTTTTACAGAGACAATTCTCCTTTGAGCAGCAAGACATTTGATTTCACTCAGTCGTTTCGAGCTTTGGGGGGATTTTTGTTGCGTTTTAATTCTCTTTATAGCCAGAGGATCTGATTCGGATGGAAAATGGGAGACGCCACCAAACTGGCCTTCGCTGTTTTCCTCATCTCCTGCTCTTCAGGTGGGTGTGGAGGGGTTATGCATAGTTTATTGTCAGCTGTGCAGAATCCATTGCAAAGCTTATTGTTACCTCTGCAGAATGCAATGCATAACTTGTTACGTGTGAAGGATGCAGTGCAATTCAACGCAATCCTGTGGAAAGGGGGAGAAATCCCATCCAGCCATTTTGCTTCTTTAGTGGCGCTCTTTCTTTGCATCCTCCATCCTCTATGTGTGGATGTGCATTGTGCATGTTGCAGATGTCAGCAGGTCAGTAGTGAGCCCAAGGTGGGGCCTGGGAACCTCAATGGGCCCCTGAATGGGTAGGCTATGCTCCTAGTGGAACATTCATTCATTCATTTTCTACCGTTTAGTCCCTGAACGGGGTCACGGGGGGACGACGACATACCAGTACAAATAGTTTTTAATATAACCATCTTCATTAGAAAATAAAAAGAATATAATGCGACTTGACAAGGATGACTGTTTTGTCCCCAGTGTTACCTACAATATAGACAGTTATGTGATTAATTACTAAGTAAAATCTAATTTTCAGAATAAACACATGGAAATAAAAGTGGTTCATGTGTAAAACGCAAGCTGCGATCCCCACAAGAAAAGTAACCACCATTGTATTTAGAAAAAATAAACAATCTACCTTAAATTGTGAAAACATTTCCATTCAGTCTGTTAACAAAAGGGAAAGTTTGATTCAGATAATAGAATGTTGATGGGTTTAACCCTTTTTACACTACTTTTGCTCAGTATTCTAATACTGTATTGGTCAAATCTCATCACAGCAGTTCCGTTTTCAACAGTGCTTGGTGTATTGGTGTTGCTGATCATCTGCTATACATCCTGGTCTCCCTAAAGGTGGATGCATAATTAATGTCAGTGAGGTGGTATTAAGGAGAGGGGGCTGAGCCCAAGAGCATATTAGTTACTTGTATATGGGTGGACTTAAATGTCAGTTCTTGTGTGACTGGGAGATACTGGTTTATAGCATTTGCATTAGCTAGTTTGTATTTCTTTAGCTTGATGTTCCATTTACAAATGAACCTATTCCACCTTCAGTTTCACATAACAGCAACATTTCATTTAAGACCAGGCATGTCAAGAATTGGGCCACCAAAGTGTTAATGCCCGTGAGAAACCGAGACAGGTCTTGTAAAACCTGAATTTTTTTTGTGATGTACTTTGTCACATGACAGAAAGGTGACAAGTAGTAACCCAGTGCTTTTAACTTTCTTTTTTGTACTGCCCTAAATAGTGTTTGTGCTGCTACCAGGCATGACCTTACCCACTGCCGTAGTTTCATTGTGTGTTTTCAGCTGGTTTGATGTGTTTGACGTGATGCAGAGCTTAGCATAACCACAGAGGTTGTATGGGTTAGAAAAGAAAACAGAAATAAGGCCTAGATTTTTTCCTATGGTTGTTCCCAAACAGAAATTGGATTAATGGATAAGTGCATTAATATCAAAGCAGAGAATGAAGTTCCTCTCAAAATTGAAAGTGCTTTTGCACATTGTTTGCATACTTCTGCTACTTAACAAACTGGTTTTCTGTTGCTGTCTAAAAATATAATGGCAGGGAATGTCCCAGACTCTAAAATACCTGGTGTGACAACTTTTATAAAAGCTGAAAAGGCTTCTTAAATACAGGGGTTATTTGGTTTGGTTCGAGTCTAACCCAGGTGATGTCTGTGTTTTACAGTGCAGCAGATGATTATTACACTTGCTCATTACCGCTTGAAATGGGGGAATGAATGGCTCCTACTTGAGATGGAAAAACAGTCCTCTATGAAATCCATGTTGAATTGGCTCAGCTCAAAACGACAACAAGAAACCTCTGATAAGAGCATGGCACTTAGTCCAGAGTGGATTTTATCAGACGAGGCCTATTGCAAGAACATCAAAAAAAAAGATAATGTTGATATTCTTATGCAAAATGCTTCAAAATGCAGAGGATGTAAAAACTGCACCTAACAGCTTAAATAACACTGCCTCTATTTTGTTGTGATTAATATCTGCTGTGAGGTATGTACTGTACCTTCACCAGACAGGAAGTGAGGAAATGATACAGCAGCCCCTTAAACAGCAACAAGCCACTGCTTGTACAGCAGTTAGGAACTCTACATACTCAGTTTACAATGGTATGAACTCAGACATAGCAAAATATTAATAGAGCTTCAACAACTGGTTGATTGACACAAACTCACTGGCAGCAATTGTCATTGTTTGTTCATGCCCAAATGCCAAAAATGACTGGTTTGGCCCTTTTACATTTGCAGAGTCCTTCCTTGGGTTCATTTTATTTGATAGTAAATTAAATAGGCTTGCATTTGAAACTGCTGAGCAGTTATAAGATAACATTAGAGCCTCTTGTGATTGATATTTTTCTTGTTGCCTTACAGGCAGGCAGGGGCACTTTGGTGCTTTATGCTATTTTGGAAGAGAAG